GATCAATTTCCACTCTTCCAATCTCTGTCGAAAAGTGTTTCATTAAAGAATCTTAAGAGCATAGAGAGTACGGTAGACAATGCTCCAAGCTGGACTCACTTTTATTTGACCAGGTGTTGAATTAAAACCCTTTCCACGAACTCTAAAAATCTAACATCTGTGGTTCCTTCAGCACCCTAGTTGTAATGAAAATGAGACCAAATAGTGCGCTCAGCCCAAAACCTCCACCGCCCCCGGCCTTCGTGAGCACAAATCCCTCCACCAAATGAAAGGACCAAAATTTGGACCCCTACATTTTTTTCGTAGTATAATCTGTTAAATCCACACTAACCTATAATTCAAAAATGGAAATTCGGGGAGACTGCATGCAAAAGAACTGTTCATTTCATGACCAATCATTAAAAGTTAAAATGTGGGGTTTGTCTCTGTGATTATTCTCCAAATAAATGTAAGAGGAAGGGGTAATTTAATTAGTGTACGCATGATTTCAAACATAGTGTAAATTAACTTCAAAGATTAGGCCAAAGTAACTGAAGCTGGAATAAAGCTCTAAGAATAGCCCTATAATATCGATTTTCACTAAATCGATTCTATACCTAATTATTTGTAAAATTAATGAAGTTATGGGAAAAGAATCATGGGTAGATAGGAGAGGAACAGTGGGTTTGCATGAAAATTGAAAGAAAGTGACGCTTATCTGAGGCTCACCATTTCCATTTAACTGGACTTGTATCGAGGGGAGGAATAGGTATGTATCAAATATTTCAATGATAAAAAAGCAATAGTAACTCCACTTATATCCATATGCTTTACGCCTATTGGCCATAGAAAATATAAACAATGGAGTAGTGGTGGTGGTGGTGGTGAGTTGGAGTTAAAGTACTACACAAGTTAAAAAAAATACAACTTGAGTACAGAAAAGAGTCGAGTTGAGACTAATAATAATAATAATAATTGGAGTTGAGTGGACCTCAAGGGCTATGATAAAAGTGATGACTGCGTAATAGTGTGTGTGTGTGTGTGTGCTCACTTGACTCTTGGAGAGATGAAGTGTTAGTGTTGTCTGCGGTGAAATTCACAGGCAGGCGTTGTCAGCAGTAATAATCGAGCAACACATCAACACCATTCATCAACTCCAAGTTGTCGTCGAGTGCTACTTGTGCTTACCACAATGACACTATCGAATTCTAATGAAAATTCTCTATACCCCCTTCCCCTCCTCCTCCTCCCTCCAGTTATATTTTGAACTTCGGAGTAGTTAAGTAAACAATGTATGCAAGAATATGTAAATTTAAACAAGTTGTAATGATGCATAAATGTATAAATTGAAAACACACCGAAAACTTGCGTAGATCATCCGAAATTTGCGAATAGTCTACACCACAACCATCGGAATGTTTAGTTCTGGAAGAAAGTATCTGAGGAGAAGGAATTGGAAGTTGGAGCGGAGACTGATGGGCTTTTAGTGGGGAATATGTCGTTCTGGAAGTGGAATGCTCTTTCCTTCTAGTTGTTGTTCCAGTGCGAATTCGCTGAGATTCTTCCCTCTGAGCTACTTCACCGTGACGGCTTTTTAAATGATTGAGCATCGTTGTTGTGGTTCCAGAAGCATTAAAAGCCAACTGACTTTTGCAGAGAAGACATTGTGTTCTAGTCCTATCAACAATTCCAGCTTCATTTTCAGGATGTCGAAAATAGTTCCATACAAAGGATTTCTTATTACCCGGTTTCAGCCTATTTGGAACAGGAGTTGTCATCGAAGGTGCCACCTGCTCGGAGAAAGAAAATAACCTCGAACTGGCATCAAATGAAGGCGCTTCTACTTCAGAACTACCTTCAGAAGCTGAGCAAGCTGTTTGATTTCCACCTTCACTGGGTGAGGTGTCTAAGTAAAAGGAGGGATTATCGCCACTCACGGTTTGCATTCTACGGACTGATCAAGCCAACTATAATTATAGCCTTTAAATACCCCTTGTAAATTGTTCAACTCGGATTCTCAAATTGCGTGCGTGCTTCTGTATGTGAGCCACACACAGTTGCCTACACGACCGCACGCACGCACAGCTTATGCACCCATACACAGGGCTCACATTCACGCACTCTTGTTTGAAACAGCGAGTTAGCGAGCAGCGAATGCATACACGTCTGCACGCGATAATCGAGCCTGGCCACTAGCGCGTCGAGCTTCTTCGCGTGCACCAATGAGGATCAGCCTTATGCATCACCAGAACCCACGTGTGCACGACGCTCGAACGCATTTGGTTTACAAGTAGGGAAAGTATTCGGGCGAACTTCGAGTCCTACGTTCTTATTGGGTAACTATTTTTCGGAACTGCAATTTCCCGTGCGGATCTCCTATAACGATCGCATGCTTTGGAAATGTCCATTTCTAGGAGAAGGCAAAATTGGGTGAAATGCTAATTATAGGCTAGGACCACGAGCCAGTAACTTGCAGCAGAAGTGCCAATTATAGGGTGTCCATAATGACTAGTCTTGCAGATTGTGTGAGGGCATAGTAGTAGCTATTGTTGTTAAATTCGGGGGGTGAATAGTGGGAGTATGCGAGAAAGGGAGGGCAATAGCGAGTGAGAAAGGCGTTTCCTTTTTACACGCTACTTTCCCATTCATTTGGCCACTTCATAAACTGACAGCATGCATGCAAACAGCGTTGGTGAGGAGTGAGACTCGTTTTATATTCGTTCCAACCTCCCCCTCCCCCTTCCCTCCCCTCCCCTCCCCTTCCTCTGCCCTACCTTGGTACACCCGAAGGTACCAAGGCAGTGGGAGTTCAAATAGGCCTTACCGACAACTTGACTCTACCTTACAATGGTGGCAGCATTATGCATAATTTACACGAGGCATCGAGGGTGAAAGAACAGAATTGAGGAAAGGGTAGAGAGAGAGAGGGACAGGCCTCAAATTGAGTTATGTGAGAGCGTGAAGGAGAAAGACTGGAAAAAATTAATAATTCACTAGAGACAGATAAATTACACAGACTGCCACCCAAACGCCTATTGTTCTCTACCTCCTTCTCTCGAGGGGACGTCACAGTTTTTACCTCAGTAGGTCATCTTTTTTTAAGTTCAATCGAGAGGGAAGGCATTTTGGAGGCCATATGATAAATTTAGACGACAGTCAATGCAGGGAAAGACATTTGAACTCTATTCAAATATTGAAGCAGTGATAATTTCCATTTTTTCATATTCAATCCAAGGAATGTAAGAAACAATTACTCTAGGCAATTGCATTATTCTTCTTATTATTATTAATATTAGTATTTCATTGTAATAAACGTGTGAAAATAGTTATTTAGGTGCGAAAAGAATACCAATAGTCTTTTGCTGAATTATAATTTAACAAGAACTGTTGAAACTAACGTTTCACGGTTAATTAGTTTGAAAACTCACTCACAAACAGTACCTTCAGCATGCACTGTGAACGATGGGATTTATAAGTTGAAATACTTCGGTTATCGAGCATGACAATAGCACAAATCTCTTCCTTCCTATTTTAGAGCCTCTAACCCCTTGGTGTTCCGTATTTTTTAGCAATTTAGTGAGTAGTGTTTGAGTAACTTAATAACGTTAAATTTGATAATTATTTTAACTTCACCAGGGACAGGATAGTACTTATCTCCAGGGTTGAAGAAGTCTCTTTTACTCAAAGCTTCCTGCTAATTCCCCGAATATTCCAAAGACTGCATTCTAGAATTGTGATGGAGAAGGCGGTAGGCAGCTTCTGGAGTCATTCCAGAGTAGATAGGCCTCTCTCTCTCTATTTCCTCTTTTTCACAAACAAAGGTTAGGTGCCCTATTACCTCAATCCCAATTTATAGACAAGAATAGTGTTTCCTTGAGCTGTGAAAATTTTTCCATGATTTCAAAAATAACGTAGTTTATTGTCACTCACATTCCGCTTTTGGTAAAGTGGTTAATATTTGCAAAAAAAATTACAGCCCAATTGGAAACGAACACATTTTTGTCGATTTAGAGAGTTTCAGGTTAAGTTCAAGTGCAAGACGCAAACAGGTGCTTGAATCAAACCAAATGGGGGTGGGTGGGGGTGGG